CAGCTCCAGTGTTTTTGCCACCCCAAGCAGCGGGAAAAAAAAAAAGCCGCAATCGGTGGCACTTTGGCAGCAGCTCTACCGCCGCCGCTTCATTCTTCGGCAGCAATTCGGCGGCGGGTCCTTCCCTCCGAGAGGGACTGAGGGACCCGCCACCGAAGACCTGGATGTGCCGCCCCTTTGCGTTGGCCACCCCAAGTACCTGCTTGCTGTACTGGTGCCCGGAGCCGGCCCTGCAACTTACTCATTATAGGTGCATATTTGCAACACAGATCCAACAGCAATATTTAGTCAACAAATCTATGTCCAGATTCAGAAAGGTATTTAAATACATGCCTAAATTTATGCATGCAAGTAGTCCTCTTGAAGTCAATTGTACTACATGTGCTTAAAGTTTGATGCATACTTAAATACTATGTTGAACTGGGCCTTAATGTGTCTACCTTGCTAAGGGAAGTGTTGTTTAGATAGGTTTATGATGTCTGACTGGCAGATGCCTTTCAACTGTAGGTCACCAGTTGGAATCCAACCCAGCTCCATAGGGATAAAAAATATTTTTCTCATCTCACTGAGGCATAGCTTTAGATAACTGTCGTGAAAAGACCATTCTGGATCTTTGTAAAAAAGTCAGAAATGTCAAATGCAGCACAAGGGACAAAGTGCCCTCAAAGCAGGATGCCAGCTGTGCAACCAAGTCTAACTGTATTCAGATCACAATTGTAGTCCCATCTTTTGGATAAACCTGCATTCCCCTCTCAACAACTTCCTTCATAAACTTAACAGAAAAAACTTGAAACTTCTTGGAAACTGTGAATTCTTTACACAACTATGTTTGTCTTTTGCATTCCTAGCTGACAGGTGCCTAAAAATACAATAGAAAGGTTATAGTGACAAAAGTACGTAATTTACTACATTAAAGGCTTATTGAGCACAACTTAGAAATATTTTTCTAAGCAGAATTAATCAGTATATTGGTTTTCTTTTTGATATACAGCTACAATAGCAAGCCATGCATGATTTTTATAAGACATGATAATATGTCAGCTCTAGCCTCTGTAGAGAGAACTTAGATAAACAGCAGACTCAGCCTCAAAATAACAAACATGTCTGGGTATGGCAATTATTCCTCCTTTCCTTACAAATGAAAGAAGGATGAGATTTAAAGTGTCATGGTTTGGGAATCTGAGAAATACTCCTACAATCTATTGTCCACAAGAAACATATATATATTATAAAGGACTTATTTGAATAGAGACAAGCATTAAATGTGTTCAAAACATAAATGATGTTTAGAATACCTCAAACATCTACCTTAATTTTTCATATGTAATACCCAAGATTACGGTTTCACAATCAGTATTATCTAATTTACCAATTCACTTCTGTCATTTAAATCTAGACTGCACAAATAAGGAATAATCCTACGCTGGTTTGATAATCGACTAAATTATGTACCTCCCCCCCCGCCCATTTCAGTGTTTGAGTCCATAAGCTGAATTCATTGGGTACATAAGAATGGCCATACTGGGTCAGACCAATGGTCCATCTAGCCCAGTACATTGTCTTCTGACAGTGGCCGATGCCAGGTGCTTCAGAGGGAATGAATAGAACCGGCAATCATTGAGTGACCTATCCTCCTGTCGTCCATTCCCAGCTTCTGGCAAACAGAGTCTAGGGACACTCAGAGCATGGTGTTCCATTCCTGCCCATCCTAACTAATAGCCATTGATGAACCTATCCTCCATGAACTTACCTAGTTCTTTTTTAAACCGTTATTGTTTTGGCCTTCACAACATCCCCTGGCAACAAGCTCCACAGATAGACTGTGCGTTGTGTGAAGAAGTATTTTCTTTTGTTTGTTGTAACCTGCTGCCTATTAATTTCATTGGGTAACCCCTAATTCATGTGTTATGTGAAGCAGTAAATAATATTTCCTTATTCACTTTCTCCACAGCAGTCAAGATTTTATAGATCTCTATCATATCCCCTCTTAGTCATCTCTTTTCCAAGCTGAAAAGTCCCAGTCTTCTTCATCTCTCCTCATACGGAAGCTGTTCCATACCCCTAATCATTTTTACTGCCCTTCTCTGTACCTTTTCCATTCTAATGTATCTTTTTTGAGATGGAACGACCAAATCTGCATGCAGTATACACACTGTAAAATACTAAAGAAAGGATTTTAATCTTTCTCCCCGTGTCCCCTCCCCACTACATACTAGGAACGTTCATATAAGGTAATCATGACTAGAATGTGGAACTAAAATTGACCGCTTTAAATATTTGAAAACCAGTCAGCAACAAAAGGACTAGTTACTTGTATTCAAATTTGCATAAACAGAAACCTAGATTGTCCAAACTCATTTCATGACTGTTACATCCTTTGAAAGTAACAAGATTTCTTCATAGTTGCACAGTTCATATGTTAATTCACCAATGTGAGTTGCCCATAATTTTATGTACATGTATCCATATAGAGATATATTTAGATATATATTTATCTCAGTTTGCAATTGTGAATGAAGGTTCATTTTCCAAAGTTATGACTCTACATATTTATACACTGAACCTTCAATCCTTTTTTTCAATAGTTTATTACCAGTCAGGTCATTGCAAAGGCAAACAACTACATTGATTATGAGAACATTATTTGAGAAATATGTTGAAAGAATAAATCAATAGCCAATATAGTTAATGGATTTTTGAGTTCATACTTTTTCACAGAAATCTCTACAGATATTTTTGCTCATGCCATTTAGTGTTTCTGATTTAACGAGAAGAGCATTTGCTTTATAAGCATCACTAAATATCAAAAGTAATTGTATTTCTTAAATACAGTGATCAGTCTCTCTCAATTTGTCATAATCTAGGTATGAGCAATGTTAGTGCAAAAGAGATTCTTATAAAAGTTAAAGTAGGAAATAATTACAGCAAACCCAGACTAAATATACCCAACAGTTCCACAGGAATTTAAAATATTTTACAAACTTACTCTCACTAAATTTACAGCTTACAGTAAATATTTAATTGGAACAGTTATAAAGTTCTATATTCAAACACATTACTTCTTAAATTAGATCTTAGATTTTACAATTTGGCAGGTAAGCAGGAAAAGGAGGAGCTAATGCTACTCTGACCTCCCTCTACTGTGATGCAGAAGGACAGCTAATGAGCAGTTGGAACAGAATAAGGGACAATATCAGCAACTGCTCATAGCGCTCCTTGCTCACATCAGAGTCGGTCCTGAGGCTTCAGGGAAAGAGGTGGGAGGCACTGCCCTCCACCTCCAGTCTAGAGTGACAGGCCTGATTCAAACATTTCAGTTTAAAAATTGCAGTGCACAGTTCAGAAACCACGCTTTCATACAAATTTTCTTCCTAACAGACTTGCTCTCAAGGCCTGAAGTTGAAGCCTCAAGTGGTCCCTCAGCTACAAATTGGACACTACTAGTGTATAAAGAACAGGAGTACCTGTGGCACCTTAGAGACTAACAAATTTATTTGAGCATAAGCTTTCGTGGGCTACAGCCCACTTCTTCGGATGCATAGAATGGAACATATATTGAGGAGATATATATACACA